AGAAGAGAGAAACATCACAACGAAGGTAAATTTAATTACTTCAAATAATGCTACTCCTGAAACTCACAAAAATACTTCTTTGAAGCCTAAGAAGAAAAAATTCAAGAAAAATATTGGTAGACCTCCCAAGAAAAATAATGGTGAAAATAACCAAGCAGAAAATCAACAAGTTCAAGATAAAGGACCATGCTTTGTTTGTGGCAAGAATGGGAATATTGCTCGATTTTGCAGATTTCAGAACCGTTGTCCTAACCCTCAGACAAACGTTACAGAAGAACCTTTTGTGGTGGTGATTACCGACATAAACATGGTTGAGAGTGTTGATGGATGGTGGGTTGATTCTGGTGCAAACCGTCATGTCTGTTATGACAAAGTCTGGTTAAAAATATACTCAGTTTGAGGAGCCCAAAACCATCATGCTTGGTGATTCTCACAAAACTCAAGTGCTTGGAACGGGAGATGTCGAATTGTGTTTTACTTCTGGAAGGGTATTAACTTTGAAAGATGTACTCTATCCTCCTCCATTATCATTGTAACCTATGTAACTCCTAAGGCCATTTATCTTCACTATTTACTACATCATTATCTTCTTATTCATTGCTAGGAAGAGTTCTTCTAGTATAAATAGTGGAGGACTTTATTTGGTTTGGGACACACAACATACAAGATAAAATATAGAGTGCATAAAGTTTGTCAAAAAGAGAGTTTTTATTAGTTGAAGGGAGGTGTTCTTATTGTGGAGCTTTGGACTCAACTCTTGTCCAAAGTTGTTGAGTTATATTTTATGATTAGGTTGTTGTATCCTGGAGGGGACAAGTCAAGAGGACTACCGCTGGACCGGTGAAAACATTTGCTGCACTAGGCTTGAATCTCCTTAAAGAGAGCAAGATATACGTGCCTCAGCCTGAAAAGATTTATTTCTTCAATTTTATTTTCAATTGTAATCTTGTAAGTTTTTCACTAACAATACACATAACACTTTATGTCTTGTTCTTGCTTTACTATTTCAACATTTCTTTCATTTTCGTTGGGTTGAGGCTGACTTGCCTTTGTGGGAATAAACAAGTGTCATCACGTCCTTTTTTTCGGTCGTGACAAAGTGCTTCTCCTACAGAAATTTCAACAAGTGTTGAATAATGTCTAGATATAACCTTACATTGGTTCTTTTCATGTGTCAAGATTTTTGTTTCCCTTCTGACGTTTATATTTTACCCAAAATAAGGTCTATAAAACACTTAGGTTGGTTCTTTGAGCCACTATGATTTCTTAAGAAGGGTCACTGCAAAATTATTAATTCAAGTGGTCATTCACCATCTTTTGTTGTATATAGGCCAGTTAACAAAATTTATTAGCCTTTAGATGTATTGGCCTTTTCACCTGGTACTTAGAGGTTTTGGAAAAATATCCCCCTCTTTGTAAAAGAACCCATACAAAATTTTCTCAAAAGTTTTTATTTTCAAAATTAGGGATAGTAGACTGGGAAATGGGATATGATTATAAAGTATGGAATTGAATTCTTACTAAAAAGGTGAAAGTTCATGTAACCAACCGAGTTACTAAGATTTCTCTTAAAATATTATTTGGTTATGCATTATTTTTCAAGTAAGTTACAATAAAATCTATGTCCAAATGCTTTAGACTTCCTGAACCGGAAAATATAAACAAAGAGACATTGACAAACCTACCATTTTATTCTTAAAGGATTCTGTAGACTGTAAAATCTTTCAAAACACCAAAAGCTTATTGGGATTCATTACCTTTTTTTTCTATTTTTTTGGTTTTGTAAGAGGAAACAATAGAAATCAAAAAGGAAATTTCTGAGTTTCTCTATTGTTTCAACAACAACTTATATTTCTTTTTTTTTTGTTTCCGCACTAAACTTTCACACTTAGGCATATATATATATATATATATATAGATAGACATTAAACAATTCTCTGAAGAAGATTTTGAATAGTCTAAGTAGAAAATATTTTATGAATTTTGAGATAACTTTTAAATTAAAATAAAATACAAAACATTAATTTTGACAAGAAAAGGTGGCATGTTGTAAAATTCTCGCGACACATGCAAGTTTTGTGTGACTTATTAGCTTTCACTACTTAGTGGAGGCAGGTAGTAAATTTCATGTGACCCGCAAGTTGTGCAGGTCATCACATTTGAAATTAAATAGAAAACATTTTGTAAATTCTGAGATAATTTTTAAATTAATATTAATACAACACATTAATTTTGACAACAAAAGTTATAGATAGTAAATTTCACATGACACACCAAAGTTCTGTGAGACTTATTTAATTTCACAATTTAGTGGAAGCAGATTGTTAATTTCATGTGACATGTGCAAGTTGTGGAGGTCATCACAAACCCCAATAATAGAGTCATCACGAAAATAAATTATATAGTGGACATTCTATTATTGGGTGAATCTCCACTATATAATTTTTTTTCATGACGATTCTATTAATGGGTTTTTTGATGACCTCCACAACTTGCGTGTGTCACGTGAAATTTACAATCTACCTCCACTAAATTGGTTAATTAAATAAGTCTCACAAAACTTGCGTGTTTCACGTGAAATTTACAACCTACCACTTTTTCTTGTCAAAATTAATGTGTTGTATTTATATTAATTTAAAAGTTAACTCAGAATTTATAAAACACTTTCTATTTATTTCCAATGTGATGACCTCCACAATATATAGATCACGTGAAATTTACAACCTGCCTCCACTAAGTAGTGAAATTAATTAAGTCACACAGAACTTGCGTGTGTCAGGTGAAATTTACAACCTGCCATCCTCTCTTATCAAAATTAATGGTTGTAATTTATATTAATTTAAAAGTTATCTCAGAATTCATAAAATATTTTCTACTTAGACAATTTCAAATCTTCCCCAAGAAGGGTTTAGTATCTACATATATGTATGCCTAAGTGTGAAAGTTTAATGTGGAAACACAAGAAAAAGAAATATAAGTTGTTGAAACAATAGAGCAACTCACAAATTTCCTTTTTTATTTTTATTATTTCCTCTTGCAAAAAAAAGAAAAAGAAAAAGTTAATGAATTCCAATAAGCCTCTGGTGTTATGCAAGCTTTTACAATCTATAGAAGTTTTTATCATTAAAATGCTAAGTTTAGCTATCTCTCTATGTTTATTTTTTCCGATTCTTGAAGTCTAAAGCACTTGGACATAGATTCGATTGAAACTTTACTTGAAACTTATGTATAACTAAATAATATTTTAAGGGAAATCTTAGTAAACTCGTTTGATTGGTTACCTAAATTTTCACCTTTTTAGTAATGATTTAATTCACTAGTTTATAATCATATCCCATTTCCCATTTTCCTACCCCTAATTTTGAAAATAAAAACTTTTGAGAAAATTATTATTTTTTATAAAACAGTCTTACATGTCCAAATAGGCCCTAATAAGAATTTCAATTCCAACTCAAGAGATTCATTTCCTAAATTTGATTTTTCTGCAAGTGTTGTCTTGTTTAATCAAAGAAAACAAGATAATGTTGAGCAACACTTGCTTACTGAGAACAGATGAAGTTGAATGTCTTGGGAAGAAAAGATACTGAGAGAAAAGTCCAAGAATTACTTCATATGTGAACAAAAGTGATCATGATTTGTGATGCATCACCAACTGAAGAAATGCGACATTTTGCTATTTTTTCTCAATGAAAAATCATTGTTATGTATGCAACCATACACAAAAATGTTGTAGAAACATTATTGGTGAGAGGAAACTTTTTTTTTGAGAAACTTAACAGCTATAAAGAGGAGATTTAACCTTCTGTACGGAAATCAAAAAGAGCTACAAAAGGACACATTGAGGAAGAAAGCATTGATCTTCCCTATTCAAATCATGCAATTTACTATGAAAAACCTAATCTAGAGAAGGTGTCATCATGTATGCAATTTATCAATGCAGGACCTTAGGATATTCTGATCTATTTCTCATTTAGTAATACTACATATGAATTGAGATAAATTTGATTGTTTTCAAAATTATGGGGTTTTTATATTTCTGAAGAAAAAGAATATAACTTAAGAAATTCGAATTGCATGTCCAAACAAAAACTTAAACTTCAAATCAATATGATTCAATGCACTTCTTTCAAATTATGTCCAAACACGGCTTACATCAAGTTTGCATGTGTTAAACTAATTAACAAACTTGATCTTTAGTGTAGTTAGAGACTTGTATACCAATGCGTCTATAACTTATAAATAAGATTTTTAAATTGCCTTAAAACAAGTAATAACCTCTGGTTTAATTTATATTATAAAGTTTGAATAGGCACATGTTTTAAAAAAGAAATGTAGATCATTGTTGACAATTAATGATTATAAACATGCCATGACATTTGTATGGTCATAAGTCCTTTAAAATTTGTGGCCTTAAATATTCCATCACATTTATGTAGGAATCTAGTTGTATAGTACTTATACTTATATAAAGTTTGTTGCAGAGGAGGACGAAGAAGCTAAGTGGAAGTGAATAAGATGGTCTCAAGAAGAACAAACGTTGCCTTTTGTTAAACTTCAAAGGCGACAATCCATATTATAAAATTGTGCAAAAACTTCACACACGACTTCTTTTGTAAGGTTGAATAATTCTACACATTTTGTTTTCTGGTTAGGCAGACTTTTCATACCTTTACATATAAATTCACTCTGAATAACCATTTTCTCCTAATACACTATATTGTGTATTCTATTTCTATATCCATAGTATTTATACACAATTAGTTAGAGATGAATTAATTATATGGAAATCCACATATTAGACATGATGGACAAATACCTAGTTGAATTAGGATTAAGCAGCATCAAAGTAAATTGTACATAAATTATTGACCACAATCAAGAAACTATTTAATTTCATATTAAATCTATGAAAATAAAATTAATTTTTTGTGCAAGTATTGTACAGTAAAAAGAAGGCGGCATGTATATAAGGTATTACACAAGCTTCCTCTCCAATTTATTCATTCATTAAAAGCTTCTTGAATCATCATCCCCGTCTTCCTCATCAACCTTGACAGTGACTTGTAATATTCCTCTTCTTCAGAGTTTCCATCAGCTACTTCCTTGTGATAAGCTTCATTGCTCTTATGGTATTCCTCCATACCAGATAAAGAGCTTTTTCAGTCCTTATTTAGATTCCTCTGTAAAGCAAATAGTCACCATTCGATGTCTTTTTCCAATCCCTATAAAGATTCCTGTTCTTACAAGTTACTATTTGAGGTTGACGAGGAAGATGGGAATGATGATTGAATTAGTTTTTCATGGATGAAGAAATTGAGGGAGGAAGCTTGTGTAGTACGTTCTATCATGGCTTTTTCTGTTTATCAAATAATACTTGCAAAACTGTTTTTGTTTTTGTTTTCTGAGATTGAAGATGAATTAAAACTATTTCTTACACAGGTCAATAGTTTATGTAGATTAAACTTTGATGCAGCTTAATCATAATTCAACTTGGTGTTTGTCCTTTATGGCTAATACCTGAATTTCCATCTAATTAACTAGTCTCTTGCTAATTGTATGTAACTAAAACAACTAAAGAAATTGAATACAAAGTACATTGTATTAGGAGAACGTGTTATTCAAGGTGATCTTTTACCACTTGAATACACATATAATATACATGCTTTATATACGGTAGATATGCTAGCACTGGCTCCGTCAACTTCATGGTTAACTAATGAACTTTCTGAACTGGACAAACATTTGATTATTTTGAACTATAACCAAAACAAGGTAATGTAGAGATAGGTATACAAGGATAAAACAACAATGAAAGTTGTGATGGGGCTCTATTCACTTGCTAAAAGACTTCAATTCCAAGTTGAGAGGTCAAATGCTATCAAGTAAGTTTATCGGTACAATGGTGTGTTTATTACTAAAAATTGATTGTATGTTTTCTTTATCTTACTATTTTTAATGAACTAGTGTATTTTTATTTTCAAAATGTAGTTGTAGACATCGAAATTTTATTGGACTCTACAAGACGTGTATTTGAGTCGAGACTCTACAAGGTGTGTTCAGTTTCACTTAGGGATCTTGGAGGATACTCAACACTATACCCTAATTCATGCCTATGTGAAGGGTCTTATACTCTCTTGAAAACTGATCTAAAAAAAATATCTCATAAAATCTTAGATATTTATAAAGATCATGAAGATCTTGAATATTCAATAAATTATATATATATATATATATATATATATATATATATATATGCTAAATGAAGGTGTTATATTGGTGCAGTTTTGGACTCATCAGCAAATTCGAAGTTACTTAAGTTGTACGACGTTATTGGGATGTTCTATTCTGGAGGGGACATGTTGGGAGATATACTGTTGGATCGGTGTAGATTATGCCACAATGGGCTTGAATCTCCTTAAATTAGAGAAAGAATATTTGTGTCTCAGCCTGAATATTATTTATATATTTTTTGTACAGTTTTTTCAATTGTAATTTATTGTAATTTTTGGTATATACACCCAACAGAAAGTTATCAGACGTTATAGTATAAATAGGAAATAGGTACCTGCATTATGGCGAAAGGTCACTATAACTTTTCCCACTCGTAATCACTAATCTGCACAACTTTAAAACTAATTATTTCTATGTTATCTATAATATCAAAAGATCTGAATTAGAAAAACATGTTTTCGAATGCAGCCCAATTCTTTTGTGTGATATGGAAATTAGAAGGAGCAAACCTTTGGCCTCCATACATTCTTTGCATGTATCAAATTTAATTTTGTTGGCTGCATTTTATAGGTCTTATCTTGGTTTTATATCTTCCTCATTTAAAATTTAATAATTTCTTTTATTAGCTCATGCAATATTGTCCCCAGTAAATTTTGTACAACTCACCAATTTAGGCTTCATTTGTTTTCATTAAGATTAAGCATTTGAATCTGAATGACTAAGATCTTGTCTATAGATCTGAATATTGAATGATTAAAAGTCTTTCCCAATCGGCCAATAGCATTTGATCTATTTTTCACTGTTATCCTTTAACTTTGCATTCCTAAAAATTATATACTCTTAGCAATTTTTCCGCAGTGGAGCACATATATAATCTGACAAGTTTTAAGAAGTTAATATCAAATGGATCAATTAAAAAATGATTTCACATGCTGAGACTGAAAAATAAATAACAAAATAAGAATTGTAATTCAAGAATGAACCTTTTAACACTAAAACTATCTAAATCAAACTCATGGACACAGCTGATAAACACTAGCCATGAAAGCAACTAAAACAAATGAAATAAAAAGCTGAGAAGCAATTAACCTCGACGGAGTAAAACTTTCTTCACTGTATTAATAAGAATCTCCAGAAAACTCGCCAGCTAAACTTGAAAACCAAACAAGATTTTGATCGGAGCTCGACCAAAACACTTCGCCAATTCGATTATACCTCCGTTTAGATCTTATTAAGGAGTTGTTATCTTAGTTTGTGGTGAATTAGATAGAGTTAAATGATTTTTTTCATGACATTTAAGAAATGGTGTTTTTTTGATGATCAAAATAGCTACAAATGGTAGTGAAGAAAGTTTTCTTTGATATTCAGTGGTAAGATATTAGGGAAGAAGTGAATTGTGGTTGATGAATTGTTGTTGTGCCTGTTTCGGCTGCTTCTCCCTAGGTCTAAATAGATTAGGTTTATGCTTTTTAGTTTGATTTCATCTAGGATGTTAAAATGAGCCCAAATATAGATAACTTGTTCAACCTGCACATAATTTTATGAGTTGGGCTCAAGATAATTTGAATTGGGTTAAATCTCAAATCATTCAAGTCTTAACCCATTTTAAAATAATCTTCAATTGAGTCCAATTTAATCTTCAATTTCAACTCGTGCTAAGACTCTTTATTTCCATTGATATAATGTGTGTTTCTATAGTAAAAGTATGAATTACTATTTATTTTATATCTTAATTCTAGGATTTATCTACTATTGATGACTTCTTCTTTTTTTAATTTTCTTGAGTTGAAACTCACATTGTGGTTATTAAAGTTAAATAACAATATGTTAAAATTATTGAGATTATGCGGGTCGAATTGGGCAGTCATGACCAAACCCGTTTTTAGCCCATTTGGACCCCAAGTAAACTGGAGCAGGTCACAACCCAACCAATTTCTTTTTCAACCTATTTTAATATCTCCCATTTCAACCAACCCACCCATTTGACACCCGTAGTTTCATTTGTCATGTATGTCTTTCAATTTTATGTGTGTACAAGTATGTACATAAACATGTATTTGTAAAACCCTGAAATTTTTTGAGCTAAGACTCGAACCATTCTTTGTTGTGCGTAATATTTTATCGAGGAATTTAAATTTTTATAGGTGTTAACGTCACTAGATGTAGCACCTCGAGTTCCAAAAAGAACTAAAAAGAAATTCATTCAAGTCATCCGTAAGTTCTTTTCAATTTTGGATTGAATTCAAACGACCATAAATTTTAGCACATAATGAGTTAGGTGGCCCATGAGGTATCAAATCGAAGGTCTCTGAGTCCTCTTTTTGGCACCACCGAGTTTGCCAAATTCCGAGTTTGAATAAGGGATATATGCCAGTTTGAGTTCAACCTATCCGGTTAGGGAAATTTACCCATATTAATGAGGGGTATTTTTGTCTTTTCCTTACCCAATTAGCTTCAAACATTTTTGGTAATATTTTAGGTGTCTAAACTGACTTAGATCAGTTTTCATAATTCAAAATCACACTTAGGATTTTGAGAGGAGTTCGAGAGAAGAAAACTAGGAGGAGTTCAAGCGTTCGCCAAGTTTTCTTGTGAATCGAGGTTTTTTTTTGCCAAATTAAGGTCTGTAAGTGTCACGACCCGAGAGCACCCCCCAAGTCGTAACATGCGTACTCGACCTTTTGGAGGTCTAATACTAGCCCTTAGCAATCTGTCACGCCCCGAGCCTACACCCTGGACGTTGCCGGCACTCGAAGACCATTGCTGGCCCCCAAGCAAACCAATGGCCTTGCTTTCTTAACTCAGCGGAAACTTAACTCGACAGCATAACTCAATGCAATGAAAGGTTATCAAATAACCAACTGATAAAAATCTGGCCAAAAAAGCAACTCGAGTCCCAAAATAGAATATTTACATATATACATATAGATGAGAGACTCAAAACCAACTGACTGACTGTCTATGAAGCCTCTATATCACTGAGATGGATGTTGGGACAGACCCCGCAACATCCTAATAAAACAAAACTAAGAGAACAACAAAATTGAGTCCTCCGGAACACAAAGAGGCTCACCACTGACTCTGGAGTGCTCAGCTGGATTAACGGTGTACTGAATGCTGACCCTGGATACCTGTGTCTCCATCGTCATAAGATGCAGGCCAACTGGCATCAGTACATTGAATGTACAAGTATGCGAGCTGGAACGCTAAACCACAATTTAAGCTTGGAAATAGTACAAAGGAACTCTTACCTTGGCTCTGTTCAACTCATGAGTAACTGAACTCAATATATAAAGCAATAAGACACATGCAATATATAAAGCTTGTAAAATAGTGTAAACAACTTAGTTCGTTAAGGATAAAACGATAACAAACTCAACTCTACTTATATAAAAGTAATATAACTTTAGTGGGAGATTCTTTAACCGACAATCACCACTATGAGCCCTAGTGGTGATACAACGTTTTACCTCACGTTGCGCAAGCCCTCAACATATCTTCTAAAGTCTGAATAGTACGCTCTGCTTGCCCATCAGTCTAAGGATGAAAGCCAGTGCTTAAGTTCACATTTGAACCCAAGCCTTTCTGAAAAGATTTCCAGAACTGTGCAGTGAACTGTGCACCTCTATCTGAAATAATGGAGACTGGGACTCCATGAAGTCTCACCACCTCTTGAATATACAACTTGGCATAATCTTCTGTTGAATTGGTAGTCTTTACAGATAGAAAATGGGCTGATTTTGTCATTCTGTCGACAATCACCCAAATAGAATCATGCTGTCTGCGACACCTCGGCAATCCTGTGATGAAATCCATATTGATCATCTCCCACTTCCATTTTGGAAGTTCTATCCTCTGAGCTAAACCACCGGGCATTTGGTGTTCAACTTTCACTTGTTGGCAATTTGGACACTTAGCAACAAACTCTGCAATGCCCTTCTTCATGCCATTCTACCAATAAACTTCTCTCAAGTCACAATACATCTTTGTAGAACCCGGATGAATGGAGCATCTGGAGCTATGAGCTTCCTCCATAATCCTCTCTCGGAGTCCATCTACCATAGGTACACACAATCTACCTTGAAATCTCAAAACACCATCTCCCCCTTGTTCAAAAGCTAATACTCTTTACTCTTGAACATTTGCCTTCAACTCAAGCAAAATGGGATCTTGGTCTTGTTTCTCTTTCACTTCTGACACTAGTGATGACTCGGCCCTGCTGGTCACTTATATTCCCCCTTTAGCGGAGTCTATAAGGCTTACTCTCAGGTGTGCCAGTCTGTGCACATCTTTTGCTAACTCTCTCTTCTCTTCTTTAATTTGGGCGGTGCTACCCATAGACAACCTGCTTAAAGAATCGGCAACAACATTAGCCTTACCTGGGTGATAAAGAATACTCAGGTAATAGTCCTTAAGTATTTCTAACCACCTCCTCTGTCTGAGATTAAGCTCTTTCTGAGTAAGCACATATTGAAGGCTCTTATGATTAGTGAATATGTCAACATGCACACCATACAAGTATTGACGCCATATCTTCAAAGCGAACACTACAACAGCCAACTCTAAGTCATGGGTTGGGTAGTTCTTCTCATGAACTTTCAACTGTCTGGAGGCATAAGCTATAACTTTGTCATTCTGCATCAAGACACAACCCAAACCAACTCTAGATGCATCACAATACACCACAAAACCTGAGTACCTTCTGGTAAAGTCAAAACTGGAGCTGTAATCAACCTCCTTTTCAATTCCTGAAAGCTTTTCTCACAAGCTTCAGACCATTGAAACTTCACTGTCTTCTGAGTCAACTTTGTCAAAGGAGATGCAATAGACGAGAACCCCTCAACAAACCTTCTATAATAGCCAGCTAATCCCAAGAAACTCCTAATTTCTGTTGGAGATGTGGGTCTAGGCCAATTCTGCACTGTCTCATTTCCGAGTATCAACTTTAATACCATCACCGGACACAATGTGGCCTAGGAACACCACAGACTTAAGCCAAAACTCACATTTAGAGAACTTAGCATACAACTCCTTATCTTTCAAAGTCTGAAGGACTAGTCGAGATGACTAGCATGATCTTCTTCATTCCTTGAATAGATTAGTATGTCATCAATGAAAACGATAACAAACACATCTAAATAAGGTTTGAAGACTCTATTCATAAGGCCCATGAAAGCTGCCGGTGCATTGGTCAACCCAAAGGACTTAACTAAAAACTCAAAATGACCATATCTGGTTCTGAATGCTGTCTTTGAAAATCACATTCCCTTACTCTTAACTGGTGATAGCCTGACCTAAGGTCAATCTTCGAAAAACAAGTGGCACATTGTAGCTGATCGAAAAGATCATCAATCCTCGGAAGAGGATACTCATTCTTGATGGTAACCTTATTCAACTGGCGGTAATCTATACACATCCTAAAGGAACCATCTTTCTTTCTCACAAACAAGACCGGAGCACCCCAAGGTGAGACACTCGGTCGAATGAAACCCTTTTCTAGGAGATCTTTCAACTGCTCCTTCAACTCTTTCAACTCTGCTGGTGCCATTCTATATGGCGGAATAGAGATAGGACGAGTATCTAGAATGAGATCTATGCCGAACTCTATCTCTCTCAGGAGGAATTCCGGGTAGATCATCAGGAAACACTTCTGGAAACTCTCCTACTATAGGAACTGACTGCAAAAGAGGTATCTCAACACTAGAGTCAATAACTCGGACTAAGTGATAGATACAACCCTTTGAGACTAACTTTCTCGCCTTAAGGTACGAAATAAAACGACCCTTAGGCACTGCTGAACTACTGCTCCATTCTATGACTAGCTCATTTGGAAACTGAAACTTAACTCCTCGAGTTCTACAATCTATCGATGCATAACAAGCATGAAGCCAATCCATACCTAGAATGACATCAAAATCTACCATATCTAACTCAACCAAATCAACCATAGTGCTCTTGTGATTGATGAAACAGGACAATCACGATAGACTCTTTCTGCTAGAATAGACTCCCAAACAGGTGTAGAAACACAAAAGGGTTCACAAAGTCTTTTAGGAAGAACATCAAACTTATTTGCAACATAAGGAGTTACAAAAGATAAACTTGCTCCTGGGTCTAGCAAAGCATACACATCAAAAGCAAAGACTTTGATCATACCAGTGACAACATGCGGAGAGTTCTCTTGCTCATGGCGACTGGTGATTGTATAGAGGTGATTTGCTCCTCCACCGGTACTAGAAGTAGCTCCTCTAGGTGCCATCCTGTCTGGTGGGACAATTGAAGAAGATTGGGCCCTACTGCCCAGATTCCACTACCTTGCTTATTCTTTGGGCACTCCTTCATGAAGTGATCCTCTTGTCCACACTTAAAGCAACCCGTTTGGCCTTGACGACACTTCCCTGGATGAACTCTACCACACCTAGCACATGCAAGAACCTGGTTACGTCCTTGTGCCACACTATTCTGAGACTGTGCAGGTCCAACTCTGAAGTTCTGCGAATTCTGTCCAGTGAACTCTCTTTTATATCTGGGTGCAGGTGCACTAGCAGATGATGGAACAGGTCCCCTTTTCCTTTGTTGAAAGGACAGACGGTTCGCATTACCTTTCTGCTGCCCGGACTCATTACTTGTCTTAGCTCTCTTATTTCTGAACTTTTCTCTGTCCCTTAGCTTTTCTTCCTTAACTTGCTGCACATAGACCATCAACCTTGATATGTCCATGTCCCCAATAAGCATTGCAACCCTACCTTGTTTACTCGACAATCGAGACAGTCCAGCAACAAACAAACTCATTCTACTCCTCATGTCCGCAACCATCTCCGGAGCATAATGGGAGAGTTTTGTGAACTTCATACTGTACTCATTAACACTCAAAGACTCCTGCTTAAGTGTGAGGAACTCACGTACCTTGGCCTCTTTCAATTCTTGACGAAATAAATGCCCCAATAAAGCTTCCTTAAAACAGGCCCAACTCGCAGGTGGTGCATTCTCAACTCTGCCCCCTTTCCATTGGTCGAACCAAGTTCTAGCAACATCTTTCAATTGATACGCAGCTAGTTCAACCCCTCAGTATCTGCCACATACATCACATCGAAAATCTTCTTCAACTCCTCAATGAAGTTCTCTGGCTCCTCAGTAGTGCTTGAACCCATGAAACTCGAAGGATTCATCCCCAAGAACTCACGAATCCTAGAAGTGTCAGCTCCTTCCTGTCGAACTCCCCTTTACTGACCAATCTGATTTGTTATAGCTTGACTCAGAATTCTAGTTGCCTCTCTGAACTCAACATTAGAAACTTCCCCTTGTGGTTGCACTCCCGGGGCATAATGTAACTCTTGCTCATCAACATAACGTCTAGGAAGATGCCCTCTGCCAACTCTTCATGGAGGCATGACTATCTGAAACACGCGCAAGCATGAATTAGAAAGAAACTTTTTAGAGATCAACTCTATCGCACGAAATGAGTGTGAAAGAAGTGAGAAATCTTCCTAAATGTTGCAACCTCCCAATTATAGATGTGGCGTGCTTCACACCGATAACTAGGACTCTAGAGACACGACTTCATAGACTTCCTAGGACTCTGGAACTTGCTCTGATACCAAGTTTGTCACACCTCGAGGCTACACCCTGGACGTGGCTGGCACTCGAAGACCATTGCTGGCCCCCAAGCGAACCCTTGGCCTGGCTTTCTTAACTCAGCGGAAACTTAACTCGACAGCATAACTCACTGCAATGAAAGGTTATAAAATAACCAACTGATAAAAATCTGGCCAAAAAGGCAACTTGAGTCCCAAAATAGAATATTTACATATATACATAGATGAGAGACTCAAAGCCAACTGACTGACTGTCTATGAAGACTCTATATCACTGAGATGGATGTTGGGATAGACCTTGCAACATCCTAATAAAACAAAACTAAGAGAACAACAAAATTGAGTCCTCCGGAACACAAAGAGGCTCACCACTGACTCTGGAGTGCTTAGCTGGATCAACGACGTACTGAATGCTGACCCTAGGTACCTGTGTCGGCATCGTCATAAGATGCAGGCCAACTGGCATCAGTACATTGAATGTACGAGTATGCGAGCTGGAAACCTAAACCACAACTTAAGCTTGGAAGGAGTACAAAGGAACTCTTACCTTGGCTCTGTTCAACTCATGAATAACTGAACTCAATATATAAAGCAATAAGACACATGTAATATATAAAGCTTGTAAAATAGTGTAAACAACTTAGTTCGTTAAGGATAAAACGATAACAAACTCAACTCTACTTATATAAAAGTAATATAACTTTAGTGGGAGATTCTTTAACCAACAATCACCACTATGAGCCCTAGTGGTGATACAACGTTTTACCTCACGTTGCCCAAGGACCATCCTATACCTTGCCGTGATATAGGAAGCTAACTTTACTAAGTGTATCCACTAGTTTAACTTTACGTGATCATCTAAAAAGTATGACCGGTTAACTCCCATGTTGGCGCATGGTTATTATGGAGAGTTGAGTTAATATGAACTCGTGTCCCCAATTCGGTGCTCAAGACTACTCCCAAAAATACTTAGCTCATAAGTGTTTTAAACACATCTTTCTTTATTTGAGATAATTACTCAAAACTTTGCCCGAAGGTTCACTTGGAATCGATGTTCCTTTTTCTTGAAAACTAGTCCAAAGGCTCTTTTGGAATCATAGTTCCTTTCTTACTCAAATGTAAAAACATTTAGAAACTTCTTTGGGAATACATAGTTCCCTAATAACTTTTGAGAAATGAACTCAATTGGCAACTCTTGACTCTTACTCTTTACTTGACTTGAAACCTGCGCCTTAAAATGAAGTTAAAACATTCAACAAAGACTCTTGAACAACATTAAAGACTTACCTTGACTCACTTCTTTAACTTCTAAACTCAACTCTTAACTTCACTTGACTTGGAAACTAACTCTCCTTGAATTTGAATCATGAATTCAAGGTGTTTGATCACGTGTTATGGAACAGTTCTTGACGTTTAAACGTACCTTGGGGTGTTGGAAACAACTAGGGAACATAGGTACAATACCTAGGAACATGCATGAGAAAGTGGGGAAGGAATGGGAAGACTTGGCGCTCTGAGAGGCGCGGAGCGCCAGACCAAAAACTTCAGAAGGGTCTGGTTGGGGCTCTGGTAGGGGCGGCGCCCCAAGGGCTGGACCTCAGAGTCCCTTTTGGGGCGCGCTGGCTGGCGCGACGCCCCAGCCCTTTTTCCCGAAAACTTGACTTTTCTCCTTCATTTTCCAACTCTAAACCTCCCATACCTTCAATGGTTTCAACCCCAAACACTAAGGATCATAAAAACCCTCAACATACACTAGACCAACAAGAACTACAACACAACACAACTACAACTTCAACAATTCCAACCAACAACTTCAACAAACATAATCAATCTTTTCTCGAAATTAAACGAGCTTGGCGTGTGGGGGAAAGAACCAGCCCAACACTATGAACTCACATACCTTAATAGGGATCACCCCTGAAGAAAACCATGACGATCTTTACGAAGTTTGCTTCTTCTTCTCCTTTCTCTCCTTTTCTCTCAAGAACCCTAACTCTTACTCTTTTAAAAAGGGAAAAACTGATCAAAAATCAGTCTTCCACCTTAATATATATCCAAAGACAAGGCTAAGGAAAAGACCAAAATATCCTTACAAATTTTCAGACGGATTCCCTGCCAATTGCCCAATTTTCAAAGGGCATAACTCGCTCATACGAACTTGAAAACGAGCAAACTCAGCGGCGTTAGAAAGACCCTTCCACGGACTTTGCAAACCTGGCAGGAACTACACCTAGATCATCCTGAGCTAGGAGTTATAACTATTCAAAGTTGGCCAAAAATTCATTATTTTCCATACTTAGCTAAATTTTCCCGATTTTGAATTCTTTCCAAAAATGAAAATTTCCAATTCTAAGCCTCTTCATAGTTATTTCAAATTGTCGGATGTTACACAATCATCAAATTCAGTAATAAAAACCGTAAGGAATAAAAAACAATTTTTAAAACAAATCCATAATACTCATAAGATCTTCAAATGTAAAGAAGTAGAATTTCTAAATCTCATGTACCATCTTAGACACGAATAGAACATATTATGGACACGACCCTTTACAACAATAGAAAATATAAGTCTTATACAATGTCTAAATGGAAATGCATAACAACTATGTCCTCGAATATATGAGGACATACCAAACTTCTTGAGAAGAGTCAATATCCCAAGCTTCCTCAAAAGATCTCCTTACTTTCCACCACCTACACTTGTAACAATATAGAAATATGGAATTAGTACAATAAGTAATAAGTATGATGACCATGCAAGAAAACATGCACAACGGACATTTACAAGGAATGTATGCTTTTAAGACCTTCTTTATCAAACCTTTACAACCACAAGCATAAACCCACATTTCAAGTCACCATTAACAAATAAGACCATATTCACATCATTTACAACTCAATTAACACAACTGTACAATACTTAAACAAGATAGCAAAGTAATTCCTTCATTACCATTTAAGCCTCTATCGCAAGTCACCCTAAGCCACACTTAAGTCAATAATGAAGTGACTGCCCATACAACCTCTTCATATACACCCAAGTGTTCCTAAGAGTTACCATATACAAGGGTTTTATCATTATATTATAACATACTAAGTCAACATTCTTATTAAAACCATTTAAGAGACACACAAACATATAGGGGATAATCACATTCTAGCCCTAAGGCTTAGGGAACTCACTTAGCATTTTCTAAGCCTACTCGTGCCATGTGTAGATAGCATCCCATACTACTACCTACACGTTGTAGAACCTATCCAATACTAGAGTGCACATCCCATATGATGGAAATAGGCCTTAACCGACATAGACCACACTAGCAAGGTATGGAATCCGGAGTCTATCCTACTCCGTGGAGGTTGTTCTACTTGCCAAGGGTAGAACTAAAAGCAACCCATGTTGGCACATGGTTTAAGAGATGTCCAAGGATGTTCATTGTGCCTAATCTCATGCTCAACTAGGCCACCATCCTAACCACATCCACTTGGTGCTTAGCCTTGGTTTCCATAGAGTATTCAATCACATATGTACTAGATAGGGTTCCTTTTCTAGTTCAACCAACTCATTGTACCTCTTCCCAAGAAAGGCACCATTTCTTAGTCATAGCCAATCTAGGTTCATAACGATAGCTCATTTGACTTTCTTAGATAAGGATTTTCATGCCATTCCGGCTCCATCCATCTCTAAGTCTATCATGTCACTCAAGAAGGGAACATCACCTTAAAGCCCATCCTTCAAGGTTATACATTTACTTAGGAAAGCTAGACTCATGAAAAAGGCACTATGCTTAAGTCTACCAATTCAAGTCTTGGCCTAGAATTCCTCTTTTAGCATTTATAGGAAGAGCTCCATTACTAAGTCATAGCCCAACCCAACATTCATATATATAATCAAGCTTTCATGACACAAGACAAGATACTCAAGTCTAGCATATGAGCTACAACATCATCTTATAAAGACTCATCATAGTCCATCATTACCACATATCACCATTTCAAGAGAAACATGCTTTCACATTAGCATAATAACACTTTATACAATATCACATTAATACCATTAGAATATCTTCACATTATAGCTTCACACAAACTTTACATATAGCCTCATATGTGTATACTAATACAACAATATAATAACACTCATATAATACTCTTCATGGCCTCAATTCACAATAATACAATATTCCAACATTATAC